AGGTCCCCCAGTCATCATTCCCAGGCCGACCCCCCCAGCCCCCCCGCAGCCATCCCCCACCCCAGCCATCACCCAGGCCGGCGGACCCTCTGCCCTGCAGGGAAAAGCCTGGTAAGGGCCCTGCCCTCGCCGCGGTCTGCGCTCTGGCTGTTCTGTTTCCATCTTTCTCCTCTGTGTCCAAAGCGCACGTTTCGGGGGGAGGGTACAGCTCAGTGGCAGAACGCGTGCTTAGCATGGAGGAGGTCCTGGGTTCCATGCCCACTACCTCCAAGAATAAACAAATAAACCTAATTACCTCCCCCTGAAGAGAAACCCAAAATGCACGTTTCGTTTGTTAATTTTTCAAGCTTAGTACTGGGCTGCTTGCTAGTAGGCAAGCATTGTTGATGAAAACAACTTTAAAAGACTGGGACCTGCCCTCAGGGAACCCGCCCTGGTGCTAGAAGCCATCGCGGTGCAGGACAACTCAGAGCGAGTTGGCCGCGGTGGAGGTCAGTGGGGCTGGGCAGACGTTTGTGGGCCCGGGTTCCCGGATATGCGGCTGGAAACATGAGTTGGGCATACGTTGCAAAGAACCTTTAATACCCAGAAGATAATAATTGATGGTTTTTGAACCAAGGAGAGCCGTATGCCAATTTGTGTTAATGTGGTGAGACTGGGGTCTGGTGGCTTCCGTTAGAGAGATCGCTTACCTGCTCTCTCCCTGTTCTAACCCCTTCACCAGCCTTTCCGCTGTGTTCTCACCTTCTGTGAAGGTGCACATTATTACTGGTGCAAATTTGCTTTATTGACATTGAGGGTCTCCATGTCTGCTCACTGAGGAAAAGGTAGTAAGGGTCTGTATACAAAGGTGTGCTTAATCACCTAGTGGGGTGACCAGATCCAGGAGGTGCTGTTCTTAAAGGTGTGGCTGAGGAAATCTGGAAGTAGCTTAAAGAGTAATTTACATGAAAGACTGTTGTAGTGTGACTGAGTCTATTTAATGTGTTAATTTGCCTGTAGTATTATTAATTCTATTTAAATATTTCCGAAAGAGTGTGTTAACTGTGGGGGAGCAACAGCCTGGCGATTAGAAGGCCCTAATCAAAGGCCCATTCTGTCTTCGCTACACAACTGAGGGGCATGTCTTGACCCAACCAACACACAAATTTAGTCACCTGTAAATATGTCCCCGGGGTTAAGATAGATGCCTCAATTTAAGTTTATGATTATATTGAATTACAACCGTGCAGCTAATGACAATCCATGCTCACCAGGTAATCTGATTATAATTAGTTTTCCAAATAGAAATGACTTCGGGAGAGAAGGTGAGGAATTAAACATTTTACCGTAGCTTTCAAATTAGGAAGTTGACCTTTTAATTAATGTTTAGGTCTTTGTGGGTTTGACATGAATTGGTACATCAAAGCCCTGTCAACTGTAGGTTTGCTGCCAAACTGAGTTTTTAGGCTGTAGAAGTGAGAACCAGATCCAGAAATGTGGTGACCCTGTCGAGACACTGCGTCCGTAGAAGGCCTTGCTTGGAAAGATGACCTTCCCACGTATAAGTGAGATCATGCAGTGTTTGTCTTTGTCTGGCTTACTCCACTGAGCATAGAGCCTTCAAGGTCCATTGCTGTTGTTGCCAGTGGTGGGATTTCCTCGTTTTTATGGCCGAATAATATTCCATTGTGTGTATGTAGCACAGTTTCTTTAGCCTTACGCATCGATGCATGTTTCCATGTCTTGGCTATCGTTCAGTACTGCTCTGAACATGAGGGTGCAGACAGCTCTTGGAGTTAGCGTTGTTTCCTTTGGATTTGTTCCCAGAAATGGAACTGGTGAATCACTTTCTTTTTATTGCTGAACGATACCCCGTGGTATGGACATACCCTGGTTTGTTAGGTTCTCCGTTCTTTGGTTGTTTCCATTTTGGGGCTGTTAGGAATAGTGCTGCTGTGAACATTCACGTACAGATTTTCATGTCGGTAGGTTTTCAGTTCTCTTGATTGTGTACCTGGGATAGAATTACAGGGTCGCAAGGCACTCCTTGTTAACCGTTTTGAGGAACGGGCAGGCCGTTCCCCTAAGCAGCTGCGTCGTGTTGCTTTCTCAGCAGCGGTGGGTGGGGATTTGTGTCTCCACATCCTCACCAACACTTCGGCACTGTCTCTTCGGTTATAGTTGTCCTGGTGGTTGTGAAGCTGTATCTCAGAGTGGTTCTGGTTTGAGTTTCCTGGCGGCTAGTGATGTTGGGCACCTTCTCGTGTACTTGTTAGTCATCGGTGCGTCTTCTGTGGAGAAGCGTCTATTGAGATCGTTTGTCCGTTTTCAATTGGGTTATTTGTCTTCTTATCATGGAGTTATTTATATGTCCTGGATACAGGTAAGCCCCTTATCAAGTATGATTTGTAAGTATTTTCTTTCCTACTGTGGATTTTCCTCACTTTCTTCGTGGTGTTCTTTGAAGCACACAAGCTTTGAAGTTCGATGAAATCCAGTTTATTCTTTCTTTTGTCTCTTGTGCTCTTGGTGTCGTGTGTAAGAAGACTTTGCACAATGCAAAGTCACGAAGATTTATTCTTAGAATTCTTTTTCCATTTTATCTCCTTAATTTTTGCCTGCAGAATTATAAGTCAACAGTTTTTCTCTTTTTGCATTTAAAGAGGCTCCACTGTTTTCTGGCGTGCGATGTTTCTGAGGAAATGTCTGCTGCGTTTTTATCTCTGTCCTCTGTATGTAAAATGCCTCCCCACCCCCTTGATGCTTTTAACTTTTTATCCCTGGTTCTCTGCAGTTTAATTAGGAGGTGTCTTAGTGTTTGCCCTCCCCACCATGCCCCACTCAAATCTGTTTAATGTTATTCTACAGCTCACTAATACTCTGTTCTTTTTCCTTTGTGGGAACATACTTATACTAAAAATTCGTGGTTTTTTTTGAAATTCAAATTTAAGTGGGGCTCTTGTATTTTATGTGACACCCCTGGTCCAGGCTTGGGACGTGGAGTGTGCAGGAGCACCATATGCTCAGTTCTTACGGGTTCTGTTCTGTTAGACAAGTTGTCGAGGTAAGGTGCTGGCACTAGGATCAGGGTGCTGGACAACTAGCTCGAAGACATCACCAGAAGGGAATGAAAGGGTCTCAGACCCCCTCCTCAGAGTAGAGATTAATATGAGGACCCTTTCTGTCCTTCCCTAAACTGAAACCATGCGCTAAAAACCCCAGTCACTGCTGCTGACGCTTCCGTGGTGGCCGCTTCTCTCCCTAGGGAGTCCCAGCCGTGGTCACGTGTGAGTCCTTCTCCTTGGGGACCATGCAGAGAGCGTCCCGTCTGAAGAGAGAGCTGAGCCTGCTGGCCACAGAGCCACCCCCGGGCATCACGTGCTGGCAGGATGCTGACCGGATGGACGACCTGCGAGCTCGTAGGTGTCACACCGCGGCAGAGATGTCACACCCCTGTCGGAGGTTATGCTGAAATTTGAACATTTGTGTATTGTTCTGAAGTAGGGGACAGCTGCAGGGAAAAGATGGCCCTGCCACCTTTCTGCCTGACTTGTTTACGTCTAGAAAGGGTTTCATGACATTTCGTCTTTGGCCTTTTACTATTTTTGCTGATTTGTAGCCAGGATTCGGGTATCAGCTCTGAAGCAGTGTTTAGACCAAAGATCACCATCTCAGATGTCCGCGAGGCCAGACAGGAAACGCAAATGATGAGAATCCTGCCGTCCAAACCAAGCAGACCTGCAGCTTGGATATGGTCTGTGGGCGGTGTCTCCCACCTTCCGTGCTGATCGTCTGTATGTTCTTTGTTTGACACCAGCTTGGGGTGCACTGTACACTGTGTGAGGACCTGCAAAGCCTGAGAGAGTTACTGTCCCAGAGCCGGCTTCTCCCTTAGGACCACAGACTGCATTCTGTCCATGTGGTTTGGTAATGCAGATCATCTGATCCCCTCCTTAACTTTTTCTTTTTTTTTTTTTCTGTAAAGAAATATTAGGTGAGACCAACACACCTTATGAAAAAGGTGTTTTCAAGCTGGAAGTTAACATTCCTGAGAGGTCAGTGTGAATTATATTCTGAATTTCCAGGGGAAAGCACAGTTATTGGAAGACAGAGTGATGGAGTTGAGTGTTAAATGCAGGTGTTAAAGGACCTGGATTTTAATCCTGGTCTTATCCTGACTTAATGTGACCTTAGGCAAGTTTTTTTGTTTATTTGTTTTGTGGAGGGGGGCAGATTATTTTATATCACTGGAGTTCAGTTTCTTTCTCTTAAAACTGGGCTAGATCACATTTGAAGTCCCCCCCCCCTTTTTCATTGTAGTAAAATATACATAAAAATGACCATTTAAACCACTTGAAGTGACAGTTCAGTGGCATTAAGCACATCCCCACTGTCCATCTCCAGAGCTGCCTCGTCTTCCCCAGCTGAAGCCCCACCCACACCTGGTCAGCTCCCAAGCCCTCCCTGGCACCTAGCAGCCCGTCTTTCTGTCTCTGTGATAAGGCACCTCTGACCCAGGTGTCCTGAAGGCATTCTTCAGGTGAGCTGCAGCTATGCAGTTTGTGATGTGTGGACCCCGGCCAAACTGGTTAAAGCACTGGGAGAAGTGGCTGAGTCACGGGGCACACCAATTCTGCAAACAGACCGAGACTTTCCAAGGTTTGTGTCTCACTAAAGAGACGTAATAACCAAATGCAGTGTATAAATCAGAACTGGATCCTGTTTTCCAAAGCCTCTCTGTAAAAAATTGGGATAGTTGAGGAAATTGGAATAGCAGATGATATTGGGGGAAATTGTGAACTATTTTATAGGTTGACTGATAGTTTTGCAGTTACACAGGAGAGTGACCGTATTCTCAGGAGATGCTGAAGTGTTTAGAGGGTGAAGTGACTTAATCCAAGTGGTGGGTGTAGAGGGTTTTCAAAACTATGATCTCAACTTTTCTGTTTATAAATTTCCATGATAAAAATTTGGGGAAAGGCTGTCTTCCTGATCAGCCACCAGCAAGCTGTTCATGTGTACTAAGAAGCAGTATTTTAGTAAGAAGTCTGTTCTCCTGTGCTTTCAAAGGTATCCCTTTGAGCCTCCTCAGGTCCGATTTCTGACGCCAATCTACCACCCAAACATTGATTCTGCGGGAAGAATTTGCCTAGATGTTCTCAAACTGCCACCAAAAGTGAGTGGTGGATAGAGGGTTGACCCTTCGCCCTTTGTGGTCTCCGTCTGTAAAACCTGTGCCGAGAAGCACATTCTTAGTAACACAAGAGCCACTGCCCGTCTGTCTGTCTGTTCAGGGCGCCTGGAGACCGTCCCTCAACATTGCAGCCGTACTGACTTCTGTTCAGCAGCTCATGTCGGAGCCCAACCCCGATGACCCACTCATGGCCGACATCGTAAGAGCCCCCCCCCGCGCCGCGGCCACGTTCCCCTCACCCCGTCTCCGCATGGTGGGGAGGGGAGCGGCCATAGTGACCGGTCACTTTTCTCTCCACTGACCCTGGTTTCATCTCAGTCCTCAGAATTCAAGTATAATAAGCCGGTCTTCCTCCAGAATGCCAGGCAGTGGACGGAGAAGCACGCGAGACAGAGGCAGGAGGTACAGCGTCTGCGCAGCTCCAGTGCTGCTGCACGGTCTGTGCTGCGCCCCAGGGTGGCGCGCTGGCCTGTTTTAAGTGAGAAGGGACCATTTGCAGGAGTGTGGAGGGGCGGGGGGGTGCGGGAGGGAAGGGACCATCATGGAAGAAGGGAGAAGGAAAAACTTCCCTGGTTTATGCTTACGGAGTTTCCTCCTATAACAACATCTGGAGTCCAGGAGCAGGTGGGCGCGCTCTGGCTCTCCCTGAGCTGCGCCGTGCTCCTGACTCAATGTAGTAGCGGCTCATGCTGCGTGTGAAAGAGCAAACGATTAAACCACGTAGGAGACTGAGGAGGATGTTCTTGGAGAGCGTGTCACACCCCAGAGGACACAGATGTCCTGGAGGTCGTGTTACAGCACGGTGCTGTCCGTCTGGTGCTGGTGTGAACTCTTAGTATTTCCTGTCCGCTCCTTTTTAGGCTGATGAAGGAACGCCTGAAGATCTGCGCGAGGCAGGACACGTGGAGGGGCGCAGCGCAGCGCAGAAGAGGAGAGCCAGGCAGCTGGGAGGCACAGGAAAGAAATTCTGCCCCGATGTTCAGGGGGTTTGTCCTGGGCCGTCTTAGTCAATATAGTCTTTGCCAAGATGGTCCAACGTGCCTACATTTCTGGAATGTTTCTCTGTATTTGATGACATTACCATTTTTGTATCCTAAAAAACAGACCTTGTGTATTTGTATGTTCTGCCATGCATTGGCTCTCTGAGCTTAGTTTGTTTTATTTAGCTTGTATATATGTATTTCAGCTTTTAAACCTGAAAAATAAATAATTATTTAATTTTGAGTGTGTGTTTATATTGAATGTGTGTCTGGGAGCAAACTGGCCAGAGAGCTGTGCAGTAAGAGTGCTGAAGTGCGTGCAGCTGTCTGCTTACTTTGCCAGCTCACCGGCATCGCTCAGACAGTGAGCGACAGACATGGTGCAGACAGCTGGAGAGACAGTTCAGTGACCACCTCACTTCCAGGACTCGAGGTTTTCAGAAGGCTTGACATGGTGGCTTAAGGTATGTGCCCTTTTGTTAATTTTTCTTGGAGCTTTCCCTGCCTGTGATTTACGTCACTGGTCAGCTCCCTCCCACGGAACGGGGGGTCACAGGGGCACCTGACTCCCGAGTGGCTGTGGGACTGACCAGGTACCGCGGGAAGAGTGCTGGCAGGGCCGGGCGTGGGGGCGGTCCAAACACGGGCAGCCCCAGAGGTGCCAGGAGAGCAAGGTTCCCTGAGTTAAGAGCAGAGGTGACCCTGTGACTGGTCAACCGCAGATTCCAAGTCCCCCCGCCCTGCTGCCCCCACTCCTCCCCAAAGGCCCCCAGGTGAGGACAGATTGTACTACCCACCTTGTGGGTGTCTCAGCCGTCTGCCCCTTGGCTGCTGCGGGAATTCAGCACCTGCAAACAGAGCTGCTTCTCCAGCCGAGTGTGTGCGGCCCCCGCCTGGCCAGCTGCCGGGCAGCTGAGATCCCACACAGGGAAGCCTGGAGGGACCAGAAGAGGCCAGGGACGGGCGTAGGTGTGCTCTGCTGGGGAGCACAGTCCACTTCCTCCTTGCTTTTCAGCAAGTGGCCCCCAGAGAGCACCCTCCCCTCCAGCCCTCAGCCTCCATTGGTGACAGGCTGTCCAGTGAGTCTTCCTCCCTGCCCCCTCCCACCAGACTAGACCCCTTCCTCCCACTGCCTGTGTCCTTTAACCAGGACCTGCAACTCTGTGCTTCATAAGATGTCTGCAGGGCCATCTTCCCCGAGACCTCCCATCAGAGGCAGCTTCTGGGGGGAGTCAGTGTCTGGGTTTTCCCTAGATAGGGTCAGGTGGTGAGGTGGTCCCTTTGGGGGACACCCGGCTCTCCCTGTCCTGATGGCTCCCCACTGACCTCTGTATGTTTTTCGGGGCTTCTCCCTCCCTCCCCAGGGCCCCCTGGGACCCACTGCCCCATGGGCTTCACGCCCACCTCCCCGGTGCCCTCCTTTTCCATCTCAAGCATTCTCAAGGCTGGGCGGGAAGACAGCTCAGAGTGTCCTCATTTTTGAATAAAGTCATGATAACAGCTCACGCTTCTCAAGCGTGTACTGTGTGCCAGGCGCCAAGCTCAGCTCTACACGAGACCTCTCTGCTCTTCCCGGTGACCTTCAGAGTGCAGTTGCTGTTGCTATTTCTACTCTGCTGGTGACGACACGGAGAAGTCAGCAGGACCCCGGCCCCCGGCTGTCGCCAAGCCCAGGCCTGTGACTCCAGAACCACTCGTAACGACTGCGGACACTTCTGACGTGTGCACGTCTGTCCCCTGAGGCCCCAGAGTGGCCCTGGGGTGGCCAGCCGCACCCCCCTCCGCAAGACGAGGCGAGGCTTCGTGCTCTAAGGTGCGTCCCAGTGCGATGCCCAGCGGTTCTGTGATGCCAAAGCCACCCATGAGGTCTGAGGGCAGGGCCTGCAGGTGTCGGCTTAACTTCAGTTACCGCCTCATCTCCCCCTGCCCAGCCTCTCCCCTCCTCCAGCACGCACTCTCTTGCCCAGGGACCCCTCTCCCCACCTGATAGCCCATCCCAACCATGCTCCTTGTCTGCTGAAACCCCATTCACACTCGCCCTCTCCCCCAGGAGCTGACGGGTCAGCGGGGTTACCTGGGTGCCATGGGTGGGGGAGGCAGCGAGGGGTCTCTCTGGCTCCTCCTCGGGGCGAGTGGCAGGGCTCTAACACTCCCCGGGGCAAACCCACTGTTGGCTCATGAATGGAAGTCCAGTCGGGCTTCCCGACTGCTGTCTCCAGAAGCACTGGTGATGGGAGCCCATCCTGGGACCAGTTACTGTGGCAAAGAACAAGCTAAGAAGCCTGGGTCGCGGCCCACCCCGGGCCTGGAGCTCCCAGAAGGAGAAAGGCCAGCGGCGGCTAGAGCAGCAGGGCAGCCCGGCCCGAGGAGAGGGCACCATGGGGTGGGGCTTTGGCCGCTGCAGTGTCCCAGGGAGGAGCTGTTAGAGAGAAGAGGGTTGGGGACGCCACCGCTGCCAGCCTGCTTTCCTTTGAGGGGGCTGTGGTTACCGGCCGGGCAGCTGAGTTGAGTGGCCGATCTCGGGGACAGGATGGGCCCCTTCAGACAAGAGGCGTCTGCTGCTCTGTGACCCCACCTCCTGGCCGACGTCCTCTTCAGGGTGAGGTCTGCTTAGGTGTCTCCATCTCTGCTGATTCATTTATCCCACATAGACCAGGTAATGCACTGGGCACGTTCTATGTGTTGTTTTAAAATTATCTTCACGATTTTTGAGTTTGAGATTATTACTCCTATTTTACACGTGGGCAAGATAAGACTCAGGGTGATTAATCCGACAGAATTCACTCAGCTAGTAGGTGGTTTAGCTGTGGATTAAACTCAGGTCTTCGGAGATGTATTTTTTTTTTAACATTTTCTATTGATTTATAATCATTTTACAATGTTGTGTCAAATTCCAGTGTAGAGCACAGTTTTTCAGTTATACATGAACATATATATATTTCTTGTCACAGTTTTTCCTCTGTGAGCCACCATAAGATCTTGTGTATATTTCCCTGTGCTTTACAGTATAATCTTGTTTATCTATTCTACGATTCGGAGATGTATTAATTTCTTAATTCTGTTTTTTTTTCCCAACAGAAATTAACTGAACACCTTCTTTGTGAAAAAGGTTGAAGATACAACAGTGTGTGAAACCAGCAGGTCCCCTCTGCTGGACCCTCCCCACCATGTCCTCTGTCCCCTGGGGGCAGCCAGGTCCCCTCTGCTGGACCCTCCCCGCCATGTCCACTGTCCCCTGGGGGCAGCCACGCCTTGTCCAGCAGGACCCTACACATGGCCATCCATGCACTGCGCCAGGAGATGGGCCTGGCCTAAGGGATCGGCCCATCAGTTGACCTTTGACCTATGACCCGGCTGGTCAGATAAGTTCTCACTCAGTCTCCGAGGACACTGCCCATGGACAGGCTGAAAGGAAACAGGGCCACCAGCCTGGGAGCTGGGGCAGAGGACGCACTGGGAGGGCACCTGAGGGCAGAGGTTACAGGTACACAGAAGCCTCCAGGTAAAGAAAAAAATCCCGACATTCAGAAGCCACCCTTGGCCCACTTCCGGGAAGACGTCTGCAGACGTGCTTACACGTGCGGGGCAGCCTCGTTCCGAGAGGGCTCGTGGTGGTGCTCTTTGTAAGAGCAAAGATTGAGACACCCAAATGTCCGAGAGAAGGGGACGAATCACAGGCATGGTGTGTCTGCATAACTGGGGAAAGCCAAATGTTTTACAAATGATGTTAGCTAAGCAGCAGGTGCACCAAGCAGAGCAGAACTGTGGCAGGCGGGCTCTTTGGAGGGAGAAGGATGAGAACACAGGTGCATCTGTCTGGCTGTGCCTGAAGACCCCGGAGGCAGAACCGGTGAGGGCTGGGACGTGGGAAAAGACGCACGGTCTCTGAACCATGTGAATGGACTGCTTACTCAAAACCAAATTCATGGAAGGTCTGTAACTGAAAGGTGGTGAGGAGGAGCTGGCTAGCGGGGCGCCTGCGGCCCGTCTCTGAGAGCAGAGCAGCCCTCAGCTGGCAGCAGGGTGACAGCCCCCCTGCCCTTTCTGGTCCTAGATGTGTGGAGACACTGCCTCCGCTGCCGCTCCGCACAAGTAGACAGCCTGGCAAGAGCAGCTGTGGCCTCGCCTGCAGTAGGGCCAGAGGGACGGAGGGGCTTGGAGTCCTGTCCTCAAGAAGAGGGGCCTGGCCTCCTGAAGGCACCGCTGTTCTCCCAGAGGGGCGCTGGGCGCTGGGCTCTCATTCCCGAGCTCGCAGGTTTTCCTTGAGCTCAAACCGTCTCCCTCCCTCCCTGCCCTCGAGAGGGGCCCACACAGTTGTCTTGGGGGCACCATTCCCCTGGAAGCAAGGCTGGGGGAGAAGATCCCCAAGGCCGAGGGGGAGACGGCCGCCCAAGGACAGGAAAGCGAGCTGCCTCCGGAGGGCCATGGCATCTGGAAACCCCAGAAGCAGGTCTGGGTCTGGAAGCTGCCCAGAATCTGAGCAACAGACAGGCCAGCTTGTTCACTGCTTCCTCCAAACTCTTCTCTCTAACCCAGTACCGCGCACACAAGGGCACCTAAACACGAGTGAGTGGGACTGCCTCTGCTCCCTCTGTGTGCTCAGCGACGCCAGCCCCCGGGCCGTGCCGATGCCCCAGGGCCCAGGGGACATGTGCGCCCGTCCCCAAGCAGCTCCCGCTCCCCACCCTCTCCAGAGGAGAGAGGGGAGACTAGGGACATCGACCCCCACTGCTGCACTACCACCAGGAGGACCCAAATATTGGCATCTCAGCTGCGGGGCGTGGGGCGGCCCAAAGGGACAGGGCTGTGGGTGGGAGGACTCGCTGCTCCAGGGCAGAGGTAGCCAGGAGACAGGCTGGAAGGGCCGAGGACTCTGGCCACCTCCCGCCGCCCTCACTTCTTGGCCTGCGAGGGACTGCGTCTGCCCTTCCTCCCTCCCTGCTCACTCCTGAAACCTGCGGTTCTCCCAGGAGAGGAAAGCTGAGGGTGAGGTGGACACAGGAAGGCAGAGAGGGGCCCTGTGCAGCCCAGCCTTCCAATCCCAGCTTGAGCAGGATTCCCCGGCAAGTGGGCTGAGGTGCTGGGAGTTCCCCAGTGGGTCCGAGAGGAGATGGGAGGGCACGGCTGCCCAGGCAGGACACGGACCCAACGCCTCGGCCACCGCAGCCCCTCAGACGGATGTGCGCTGACATCGCTGCGTTATTGGCAGACTCCTGATTTTGAGTCTAATCAAAGAGATAAGTAAGCTTCACAGTATTCTGAGTAACCCTCGGACTTGTTGGAAGACCAGGCGAACACAGAGAGACTTTCCTTCTCTCACTTCGGGTAAGTGCACAACCTCCACTGGGCTTTTGGAGCGAAGACAACAGTTTGTGGGACCACCTCTGCCTCCTCCCTCCACACCCGCCCCCCACCAGCTGGAGGCTGGGCAGGTCCCAGGTCTGTTGGAGCAGGTGGAGGACGGCCGCGGGCCACCTGCAAGCTCGTGGCTTTCCGTGGACCAGGACGCCTGCCCCCATGACTCCGGCTCCAACGAGGCCCCTCCCCATGTGCCACTCGCACTGCGGCCCTGACTCTGGGGGCACTGGTTGCGGGCTGGGGGGGCAGCTGTGAGGAAGGGGACAACTTTCTACAAGTCAAGGCTCACCAGTCACCCCACCTTTGTCTCCATCCGTGGGGCGACTCAGAGCTCCTTCCCATGTAGGAGTCACCGCCTCGTGGCACCCAAGGCAGAGCAAACGCCTCCCATTCAAGGCTCAGATCAGCCCCGGGAAGGAGGGAGCCCCAGGTTCCCGGTCACCGACAGTTAAGTAGTTGGGGGAACTGGGTTAGACCAAGCTGGACAGATTCCGCTGCTGCCTTGTGCCGTCAGCCTCAAAGGGAGGGTCCCGTTTCCCAAACTCACTTTCACAAGGCGTCCCTTTCCATGGCATATTGAAGACCAGCTGACTCAGAACACATTCTGCATCCAGTCCACGAGGCGTTGGGGGGGTGCCTGTGGCAGCCCCTCCGAGCCTTTCTCGTCTCCTGCCCACCACACCCTGACCCTGGACCCTCTGGGCCCCCAGCCCAGTCACTGTCCTTCGCTCCCCTCACCTCCCTCAGCAGACAAACATCAAGACCCGGGTTCTCAGTTTCACAAGCAACAAGGAAGAGGTCAGAACGAGGCCACGGGGACACCAGGCCACGGACATGCAGGCAATGGCCCAGGGGAGAGGAGGCCAGTGGGCAGGGACAGGCCACCTGCTTCCCGGTTACACTGAGTTTCGGTTGAATTTATTTTACAAGCTGTGTTCATTCGTTGTTGGGGGAGAGGGGACGGAAACAGGGTGTGGGGGGAGACATTTAAAACATTTATAAGTGTGAGGCAAAGGCTGAGCCAGAGAAGCCCCTGCCCCCTGACCAGCCCCCGCCCACCGGCACAGCCCCCTCAGCTCCCAGAAGCAGTCCGTCCGTGGAGAGTGGCCGGTTCCCAAAGCAGGTTTCCACCGGCTCTGCAAAGTGGCCCCCTGGCTGCCGGCGGGAGGCAAGGGTCACTGGGGGGAGGCCGTAGGTCTCAAGCCCGGGGTGCGGCCTGGCCTCAGGGGCGGCCAGGACGAGATCCACATCGGAGAAGGCCACCAAGGCCTGGGTGGAGTCGCAGGAGCTCTGCTCCAGCTTGCCCGCGGCCGTGTAGGGGAGGGGACCGGGGGCCCCCAGGCAGGGCCGCAGCCACCGCAGGTCCTCCCGGACGCGGGGACTGAAGAGCAGGTACAGCAGGGGGTTGAGACAGGCGGGCAGTGGCAGCACCACCAGCAGGACGGCCTTGACGGCCTCGGGGGTGACTGGGAAGAGGCCCAGCGCGGAGGCGGAGCTGAGGAAAGCCACGGGGCAGTAGAGGAGCCCGTCAGCGAAGGTGAGCCAGGCCACGTGGCGCACGGTGGCGCAGTCCCACACAGCCTCCAGGTCACCCCTGGGCAGGTTGCAGGAGAGCTTGACGTAGGCGGCGGCCACCACCAGGAAACAGAAGGAGTTGAGCATCACCAGGGCCACAGCAAAGCCCAGGGCAGTGGGCTGGCCGTCGGGTGGGGTGTAGGGCAGGCAGAGCGGGGAGGTCCCGTACTCCCCAATGGAAGCCAGCGGCAGGGTGGCTGCCAGTCCTGCCAGCAACAGGCAGCCCAGGGCCCCCGCCCGCACGCTGCCAGGAGAGGGCGCCTTCCCGTGGGCCCGCACGCAGGACACGGCCGCGCTGCAGTGCACGGCCGCCAGAGTCAGCAGCAGCACAGAGGCCTCTGACCCCAGCACGGCCAGGAAGCCCGTGGCCTGGCAGCCCAGCCCCACCTCCCAGTGGGCGCCGTACTCTGCAAACCGGCCGAAGGTCAAGGCGTCGACGGAGGCGAGGAGGCCACAGGAGAGGCCGGTCAGGGTGTTGGCGCCCGCGATGGCCCCCACCACAAACTTGTCCGGGGGCAGGGGGCCAGGCCCGCCCGCGAACACGCTCAGCAGCACCAGCCCGTTACAGAGCAGCGAGAGCAGCACAACGGCCCACACGGCCAGGCGGATGCCCCAGCTCCCGAACAGGTGCTCGCAGGGCTTGAGGGGGCCTGCGGGAGAGAGAACTGCACGCTTGTCCTGGGCGCAGCGCAGCCTCTGCCTTCTGGGGGGCGGGGCTGGGGGAATAGTGGGGACACAAGGAGGTCTTCCACGGAGCTGCAGGGGGGTTCGCTCACCCAGGACGTATGGAAAACAGCATGAGAGAAACGTGCGCGCAGTCCAGACCACACGCAACAGCACAGACAGGCAGCACAAGCCCCGCCCGGAGGAGAGGGTAGGGAAAGAAGTCCCCCCACGGAGCAGTGTCTGGAAGAAAGGACAGGACGGCTGGCCTGAGGAGTGCAGAGGCACCAGCCCTGGGGACAGGCTGGGGAGACCCACGGGGGAGCCAGGGGTGCCGGGCCCCACCAGGCAGCGGCCCCAGGGGCCTCTCTGCCTCTGCAGCCACGTTCAACGCTCCCGACCCAGTCGTCCTGGGAGGCAAAGCCTGCTGGGCAAGTCAGAGTAAGGGGGCCTCCTGTAGCTCTGGACACGCCGTTTCCTCCCTGCTTTTGACCTTAGACCCTTGTTCTTCAGTGTGCTGCTCGGCAGCTTAGGAATTTGAGAGGCTTTTGTGGAAGCTATTTCTTAAGCATATTTCCCCCTTGATTACCAAATAATAGATGGCAGCTGTAGAAAACTTGGGAAACGTAGCACGGAAAAATTAAGCCTCTTATGATTCTGCCCCTTGGCGAAAACTCATCGTTCTGCTGTTTCCTATCAGCATTTTTAAAACACACATGCACATACAGGTTTTAAACTAAATCGGGACTTCACTGTGTATAGCTCCCTATGCTCTTTTTTAAGTTAAAGTTTTATTATGCACAGTTTCCCACGTCTCACGTTCCTCAAACGCCTGTTTCAGGCGTCTGTGCCGTGAAAGTACACGCACCGGAATTAATTTGGCTATTGTGAAGGCGATTGCGAGTGAGTTTGTCTCTCGGAGCTTCGTGACCCCACGGGTTTTCAGCGATGGAACCCCTGGGTTCCAGGCCTGGAAGCCCCACCTGCCCTCCAGGTGCGCTTGCCGCCGCTGGCACTAGAGGGCGCGCTGCAGCCGCCGAGCGCGGAGCGCAGGTGCTGGGGGCCTTCGAGGGGCCCCGCTGGGGTGGAGGGGATGGACTGGAAAGGGCGGGAGGGACGTCGGCCACTGCCCTCTACTTCTCCTGAGCGGATCCTATCCTGCCCTTCAGGGTGGCCCGCGGCGGTTTGTACCCACGGGAGGGGGCATCACGCTAAACAGAGGGTGGGCTGTGCCCAGGAGGAGAATTTTCTCTCTCCCGACAGCAAGACAGATTTAGGTCAGCTGCAGGGGGCAGGCAGTGCTGGGCCAAGCTACCCAGGGACACCATGCAGTCTTACAGCCAGAGGGCTGTAAGCACGAGAGACGGCAGACCAGGGGTCCCGCAGGGCTCGTGGAGCCCCAGGACTCAGCCTCAGACAGAGGGAGCAGTGGGGCCAAGACATCCTCCCTGCTTCTCGCAGTGTATGAGCCCTCACTGGTGATTTGTGACTGTTGCTTTGACTCCCCTCCTCCACAGCCACTCCCCCAAGCAGCCACCCAAGGGACGGAACTCCAGCCCCTTCCCCAGGAATGACCAGAGGGGGCTGTCCTCCTCCAGCAGGCCCGGCCCCGGGCTGAACTCATCAAAGAGCCCCCCTCCCCCAGCCCCTGCCCTCCCCACCTCACCTGGAAGAGGACTGCACTGGACACTGCGGTGTGGCCTGGCATCCTCCATCTCAAGCTGGAGCTCGTCCGGGTCCAGGTCATCTGAGGGGGACCAGAAAGCGGCTCGGGCCCTGGTCTTGGTGTGAGCCAAGCCTCACTTTTCTCCAAATGCCTGCCCGCCGAGACGTCATCCCGCCCAACACAGTCTGCTGGGCATGGCATCCTGGCGGCCCCAGGGTAAATGTGGTCAGCTCCCTATTATCCACATGTGGCTTATCTGCGGTGAGACCCTTTACACCTGAGCCTTGCTCTTCCTGTGTCCGGCAGCCCTCGAGCTCAGCATGGCCTAGAGTCAGGGTGGAGGCTTGGGGGCAGGGGTCACGTGCATCTCCACACTGGCCGCCCACCGCTGTGACTCCATGTCCAGCTGGGAAAACCAGGCACTAAGAGGGAAGACTTCCTGAGACAGATGGTGAGCTGGAGGTGGACTGGGGATGGTGCAGATGGTCGAGCATCTGGGGGTGCTGGACTCGGGAAAGGCAGGGTGAGCAGGAGAAATGCTGTCCTCAAAGAGCTGCAGGGGGGCAGGCATGAAGAGCCACACCCCTGTGTGCAGACTGTCCTGGAGGCTAGAACCAGGGTCAGCCGATGGATCGGAGGAGGAGGCTAATCACAACCTACTCGGGAAGTCCTGGTTCTCACGTCACGATCGTGCTCCCAGCACAAGAACCGTCCATCAAGGAGGTGGCTAGAGGTCCATGTGTGCTGAGTGTGGTGCCCGCCATGTGCTGAGGGCTGGGCGCACACGGAGGAGTGAGGGGCGGGTGTGGGGCATGAGATGCAGCCCTGCTCTCAGGGAGCCGTGGGGACGAATGAGGCCGGGAGTCCCCACTAGTGGGTTTGCTCGGCAGCAGGATAAAGATTCCTGCATTCATCCTCCAGGCGCCGCGCCCAGCCTGCCCTCTTCCTCAAGGTCTCATGAACCCTCCGGCCTCTGTGGGAGGCAGGCACCCCTTGGGCACCCCTTGACAGGTGAGGAAACTGGGGCTCCTTAAAGTTAAGGCCTTGCCCTGGGCCCCACAGCAGTGAGCGACAGGGCAGAATTCACACCCAGCCTCTGGCCACAGAGCCTGGCTGTGCAACCCTGACGCTTTCCCAGGTGAGGGGCTGATTTGGGGGGGGCCGCGGGGAGGCAGTGGGGGGAGCTTTGCAGATGCCAGAGCTGTGCAGAGTTCCTGCTGTGAGAAAGGGCACTGCTACGCTGAGTCTAAGTCTAGGCGCTGCCATTCTGTTAGTCTGAGAAAGTAGGATTAGAAAGAATCTCTGTAACATGTTTGTATCAAATGGGTTTTTTCTTATTCACTCTTGCTCTGTTTCTTAAACCACCCTGGGGCGGGGGGAGGGGGTGGACATCTCAGGAAGCAGTAAATTCTATAGGAATCTTGAAATAAAAAATGATCATTGAAACCATTTTATAGCTTATAAAGACAGAACTCTTTCACAGTGATAATTCATCATTGGAAGACTTTTTTAAGAATGAGAACTTGGTTTCTCAAGTCGCACTGGGAAAGGCGGGGCAGGATTGCTTCTGCTGGAAGGGGCGCCTGCACACGGCACAGGGTCAGGAGCTGTGCCCCGCGGTGCAGGCCGGGCAGGTGAGGCCACACTCGTCCCCCCTGTTGGCTCACTCACTTCCTGTGTGGAGCCTTCCTCCCACCTGAAGCGTCAACACTTGATTTGGGAATTTTCCCAGGAGGCAGGACGGCTCCGTGGAGCTGCCCAGGGGTGGGCAGGAGGCCTGGGCATGCCCACCGCCTGGTGCTTCATCCTCTCTGCCGCCATGCTCTGCCCACCCCTGCTCTCCAGAACCAGGCTCAGCAATGCTTTGAAGTCAGAATGCGTGAATGAAATGCAAGAGGTGGAACCCATGGGCTCCATCCGAGGCTGGAAAGTCAGCCGCGGTGTTAAGTAACCACCCTTCAAAGGAGGAGGAAGTGGGATCTGGCTGCCAGCCAGGCCCTGGCCCCGTCCCCGGGCAATTAGCTGACCCAGGAAGTGGGGGCCCTGCCAGCTCCCGTTTCCGGTGGCAGGCAGCCTGCAACCCTGACGCCCCGTGGCTCCCTAAGACGTAAGCCTGGTGGAAACTTTCCCCTTGAGGAAGGAAGTTTCCATTCCTTCTTCCAGCTTCTGGAGAGGAAAGAGCAGGCGACTGGGAGTGTCCCGGGCACAGCGCCTGCAGCCCAGGGTGCCCGCAGGGCCTCACCCCTCTCTGGAGGGGATCTGGCTCACCTCAGCACCGCCCGATGCCGGCCTCCTGGACGCCCGGCTACCCCTCTGGCATGCGGACAAGCGAGGGCACCCAGCCCTCAGCAGTGACCGTGGACAGGGTGCACACGCTCCCCTCTGAGGATCCCAGCCCGGGAGACGTGAATGTCCCACTCGCTTCTCAGACGAGGAGAGGGACCCGTGGACGGTCTAGTCCAGGTGGAGCCCAGGTCTGTCTGTACCGCCGTGAGTGTTCCCGGTACACATTTGGGGCTCGATTTTCTGTTCATCTTCTCCACAGATGTATTGGAGAGGGAGTCAGAGACTGAGACAGACGCCGGGGTCAGCCCCCGTCCCCCAGGCTCGGCACCACCAGGCAAGGCGCGGAAGCCCGTCTCTCTCCCTCCGTCTGAGACCAGCAGGGAGAGGGTCCCTCAGAAGCCCCTAGGCCACCTGTCTCCAGCCTTTGTGCCTCTGCCCCTCTCCTCCTGAGCAGGCGCCCACGTGGCCCAAGACGGCAGTGCTGTGCTGGCCCGGCGCGCCTGGGGCCTCTGGAGTCTCCGGGAGACTCGCCAGGTGGCTGCAGGGGCAGCGGTGACCCCTGTGCTGCTCAGCCAACGCTGGGCAGGGCGTGAGGGGGCTTTTCTGGAAGCAGGTTAGTGTAACTGATGTAGTCTAACCCTGAGTAGAAAATGGCTGTGTCCTCTATGCCCACCCATGCCACGTGGCAGGGCCCGCGTGGTGAGGAGGGTCTGCGTGGTGGGGCCCGTGGGGCAGGGGCTGTGAGCCACGAGGGTCCAGCTGGCACACAAGACGTGGCATGGGCAGCCTCGGGACTCTGCCTTCCAGATGGGCACTGCCGCTTCCTCCCCAGCCTGGGAGACAGGTGCAAACAGGGGCAATTCCCTCCCCCTGCAGCTGCTGTGGCTCCCCCTTGGGGTCCCTCTATCCTCTCCCTCCCGACCCCTCCTTGGTCACTCACAGTGGCTCTCGGGTCGTCCAGCAAGGAGGCCCAGGGGCCTCTTCGGAGCCTCCCAGTCCTCAGGCTGGAAGTCCTGGGGCTCCCACTGCTCAGAGGCCTTGACGCCGGCACAGACGCCATAGGTACAGCACTGGTAGGCATAGGGCACCTCCAGGGTCCTGGGGGATGGGGTGAGACGGCTGCCTCGGGGATGCTGAGGGCCCGGCCCCCGCACCCACCCTCCGGCCCCAAGGCGCCCTGATGACGGTGTGGGCAGCCTCCCAGGCTTCCTTCCCACGGGCCTGGCGGCTGGCTCCGGCCTCCTCCCTCATCTGAGAACTGAGATGGCAGGTGCATGGACCCTCTGAGACCCCAGCAGGCTCAGAGTGGGGAGCAGCTCATTCACGGTCACACAGCACCCAGTGCTCTGACCCCCCGCCCCACCCCGGGCAGCAGCTCCCAGTTCACGTCTAAGGAGGCAGGGCTTCTGCTGGCGACTCTTCACCTTTGCCCCGGTGAGACACGGCCCTGTGCCCGCCCCACCCTGGGCACGTGGGAGCTGGGTTCGGTGCCCGTGGTTCAGGCCGGGTCCTCAGCAGGTGGAGTAGGTACCCACAGGCTACAGGAAGCCAGGGGCAGGAGGCCTGCGGGGCAGGAGGCCGGGGGTTGGGGGGCAGGAGGCTGAGGGTGGGGGTGGGCAGGAGGTGAGGGGGCAGGAGGTCGAGAGGAGGGAGCAAGAGGTGGTGGAGGGCAGGAGGCAGGGGTGGGGGCAGGAGGTGGTGGGTGGGTGGCAGGAAGCCGGGGAGGGGGCGCTGGCTCCAGGACTGGCCACACAGTTGCTTCCTGCCAATCAGCCTGGGCTCAGCCCTGGACGCTGCCCCAGAGGGCATGGGGCCTTCCCATCATCTGACCTCTGTCTTCAAAGGGGTCCAGGGTCCCCCCAGGGCTGGGGTTGTGCCAGGGACATGCTACTGAGGAGATGAGGGGAAGGGGAGCCCTTCCCCCCAGTCTCGGCCAGACTCTGGGCCACCAGAATTTCTCCTGTCCCTCCCTGGCTGGGCCAGCTGCCCTGGGGTGAGCCTCTGATGGTGTGGGGATGGGTAGCCTCACCTCAGTTTGGGGAAACTGTCCTTGGAGAAGGCCTGGGACAGAGCCGGGTTCCCTTTGAGCTTCAGGTGCACCAGGCCCCCGAGTCCAGCCAGGGGGAGTGTGGTCAGCTGGTTGTCCGTCAGGTCCCTAGGACGACAGATGGTCAGGGTTAGTGATGGTCAGTGGGGTTGCTGGGGGCAGGGCTGTCCTGAAGAGAGGAGGGAAGGACAGAGGACCAGCAGAGAGGAGCAGGGACGCTGGGGAGGAGGCAGCCAGGGCGACCAGAGGCACCATCCCAACCCCTCTGTTCACCTGCCAGATTCCAGGTGCTGACTGCACGCCGGGGCCGTTCAAGGTACCGCCAAGCCAGCCCAGGTCCCAGCTCATGGGTAACATAGCCCCGAGACCACAGCCGCCATCCCAGTCCACATCCCGTCTGTGTCCCGGTCCCCCAACCAGGGCCTCTGCCTGCTGTGTGCTCCCCCCTCCTGCCCTTCTGATGACACAGAGGACACAGTTGGGGACTGGCCACATGTGGGACTTTGGTCACCTGTTCCATTTCAGGGCCGGCATCATGGCCAGAGGTGAGGATGTGCCCAGCCTCCCACCAGAGAAGCAATAGAGGAAGCTGGGGCTCCAGACCAGACACCAGGACCACAGACTGGGCATCACAGAAGAGCCTGGGCTGGACAGCAAGAGGCCTGGCACCGTCGCCAGCTCCCATGTCACCGAGGGAGTCACAAGCCTGCCTGAGCCTCAGCATCTTCATCTTTCAAAGGGACAGAAATGCCCACCCGACCTATCGACAGGTGGAGAGCAGACAGGGGTGGGAAGATGGAGGTAGGAGCTGCGCGAGACCACAGGGGGTCTGCTGCCTCACCTGTGACGTGAGGGGTGGGGCCGCCTGGTCCCTGTGGCCGGGCTGGCGCCAGTCAGAAAGGGCCCTGCCTGCTAGACGTGCCTCTAGGACGCTTGGGGAGGCCACCCTTCACTCAGTGAAGAAGCTCACCGTCAGGGGCCCTTCCAGCTCCAACCTGGTGACCGCGCCGTGGGCCTGACACACTCTCTGCTACGTCCTGTGTGACTCTGGGGACCCATGATGCTGCCCTACAGAATGGCAGCCCCTGGGGTGATGCTCACGCAGGGGCCCGCTGAGCCCCGGCCCCCACATCTGCAGCCACCCCATCCCCACCCGGCCAGTGGTGCTGGGGGCTGAGGCTGTGCGGGGACGCTGTGGGGCTTGCAGGAGGCAGGCTCTCCATTTATCGGGCCCCACAGTCGGTCAGATGGGCTGGGAATGACTGGTTGGCCAGAGCCCATGCCCCAGGACATGCAGCAACAGGTGTGCATGTCCCGCCCCGGGCTAGGCCCTCCTGCCCCCACGGGCCAGCCCACAGTCCCGGCTGGCCTCAGCACCCAGGAGGAGAGGGCAGCGGGCACTCACAGCTTGACCAGGGAGCGCAGGGTCGCAAAGGCCTCAGGGTGAATGGACCGGATGGCATTCCAGCTCAGGTCCCTATGGGCAGAGAGGATGGACAGGAGGGGACAGTGATGTCCCAGGTTCCCCCTCATCTGCCCCCACCTGAGCCACCCCTGGAGCAGGACCCTCAGCCTTGAAGGAAGGGGAGGCACCCGCTGGCCAGCTCCCGACTTGGCTGTGGCCCCCGAAAGGGGGCCTGGCCTCAGAGCTGCATGACCCCCTTCCGCCAGCAGCAGGAGAAGTGGCCCGAGAAGCCGTGTGGCGGGGAGGCAGTTCCTCCCACGTGCACAGGGGCCAGGGGTGCAGAGCCTGCATGCAGGCCACCAACCCCTGGGTGCTGGGGGTCCTCACGGGGTACGGCCAGGCAGGGAGGGGAGGGCTACCCCCGGCACTCACAGGGCACGCAGGGAGGTCAGCTGGCTGAAGGTGTCGGCTCCAATCTCCCAGAGGCGGTTGTGCCGGAGGCCACTAGGGCAGCAAGAGAGGCTGGATGAGCCCACAGGCCCAGACCCCTCCGTACTGGGAGGAGGAGAGGAGAGGCCCCCACTCCTCCTGGCGTGGGAAGAGCCCAGCCCGAGGAAGTCTTCAGAGTCAAACAGAGCCCAGGGATCGGGTGGCTTGGGGAAGTGGGTCTGCAGACGAAGCCACGAAGCCACAAAGCCGTCCCTGTGGCCCCAGAAGGGGTCAGTTTCCAGGGTTCCCACCGGGCCTGGCTCCCAGCCCAGCTGACCTCACCCTCAGACCCTAGCCCGGCAGCAGGCCACGGCCCAGCCCCCGGTGGCCCAGGCTGGGAAGCAGAGCTCAGTGGACTGGCGTCTGAGTGAGAGGCGGACTCTGGGCCTCGGCAACAGTGAAGGCCCTCCTTCCTCCAGCACCAAGACAAGCAGGACAGGCCCCCGCCTCTCCCCTGCGCTGCCCGGGAACAGGGCACAGACACAGAGGGCAGGAGGCCCTGGTGAGCGAAGCCTAGGGAATTTGTGAAGAGCTCCAGGTCCCTGCTGAAGCTTCCGTTCAGGCCCCACCCACCCTGGGTATGCGTGCACGTGCGTGTTTATGGGAAACCGCACCTCTGGCCCCGAGCCACTGCCCATCGTGTGCTGCGCTGACCCCCGAGGAGCCACCTTCTGGGCACCGGCTCCTGGACTGTCATCTGTGACATCCCTCCTAATCTCGGGGCTCAGCGAACCCGGGGACGGAGGGAGAGAGGTCGACCGCGCCCAGACTCACACTTCCTCCAGCCTCCGACACCCGCGCAGGCTGGGCAGCTCCTGTATCTGATTGTGGGACAGCTCCCCTGGGGGAGAGGGGAGACCAGGCCAGGGTGAGCTGGGGGTCCCTGGACCCGGCTGCGGCATGCCTAGCCAGGGGAACGTTT